ACCAAGTTCTAGTGAGTGCATTTGATGTTGGTTTCTGCACGGGTGGAAGGTGGAAGTTTATTTGGAATTTTCTGATCACACATGGACTTTTTGGTGTCTGATAACAATATAATTAAGGATATGCACTATCAATTTTTCCACTTTATATAATAATATTTCTTATGAGTGGATTTAGAAGTCTAATTTTGCGCTGTTTATTTATATTTTTTATGGTTTGTGTTTTCACAATGTGCACAGCAGCAGTTTAGATTTAGATTGAGATTGTGTAGTTTTTGGCGCAGGACTAAGTTTTATTATATATCTAAAAGAGGTCGTTCTGAAGAATGGAAAAAGATCGATGTTGCAATATGTCGCCAACTTGTTCATTCCATGCCTAGAAGACTTGGTGCTGTCCTTATAAATCACGGAGGTCAATACTAGACGTAGTAGTTTTTGTTGTGGGGTGGATTCATTTTTGCATCAACTAATTTGAGTAAAACGTAAGATTTTGTGATCTAAGTTATATTATTAACCTTACCTTCATGTAATGAGCCAAACAAATGTTCTATAAAACTCAGTTTTGTCAACATTTTGGAAATTGTTCTTGTGTTCATTGAGATATTGATTAAAATCTTACTTTTCAAAAGCGGTTTCCTCATTTAGGCTGAGCACTGTACATGGCTATACTTATTTAACCTATACTGTTCATTTAAATATTCCAACAGGGTGAACATTTGGTATATGCTACTGTGAATCACTCATCATCTTCTACAACGAAAAAGACAGAGAGCTCATTGGATCCCGATACAGAGATTGTCTATGCATATGTGAAAAAGAACTGAAAAAAAAAAAAACAAACTTGACTGGAGATTCGTGATGTTGCTTAATTCTAGGGATTTTTTGGAACTTTGCAAACAGGTTTTCTAGGGAGGAAATCCCCTCCACCTCCTCTACTTCATGTTTCCAAATAAAAATGCAGAATGTGCATGCAGCACTGCTTACAGTCCCCCAACTTAGCTCTAGAAGTCATACAAATATGAAAGCATTTAAAGCAAATCTTTATTTGACCTACAGTATGATGCTTTGCCTTGACTTGCTAGTGAACTCAAAACTTCTGCAGAGCTATGAATACTGAGGTTACCAGATTTTCAAAATGAAATGCAGGGACACCCTGCTGACCTCATCCACTTTTAACCACCCACCATCCCAAAATGATGCCCCCATATGTCGTTATACCATCAAAAGCACTCCTCCATTTTTAATGTCTGCAAACAATTGGTCCAAGAAAAAAAAGGAGGAGGAGGCAAGTGAGCGCAATCTATCAGAGTGAGCAGCTGACATACCATGGTAATGCGCGATGAGAGTGCGCCCTTGTTTGCTTTTGTTCACCAGTACCCAGATTTACCGATTTTTGAAGGTCTGCACCTCACCGTTTGGCATTCCGACTACCGTTTAGTCTGCATGAAGATTTGAGCGCTGCTTACGTTTGTTCTTTTGGACCTCTACTTTAATATATCTATTCCCTAATAAGGAAACATTATTATTCTTTGTTCTCCAAACCTGAAACAAATACATTTCCACAGACCAGTAAGTAAAGTGGATTAATATAAATAAATTTTCAGAATACTACTCTATGATGTATGGCACGGGTGTCAAACTGGTGGCCCTCCAGCTGTTGCCAAACTACAAAGTCCCATGAGGCATTGCAAGATTGACTTTTACAACCAAGACTCCCAAAGGCAGAGGCATGATGGGACTTGTAGTGTCGCAACAGCTGGAGGGCTGTCATTTTGACACCCCTGATGTATATTGTCAGGGCGGACTGACCATTTGGAAACTGGGGCACTGCCCGAGGGCCCGGGGGGTCAGTAGGGGGCCCCATGACATGCCCCTGGTACCTTTTTCATAGGCTTTTTTGAGTTTGGGCAAGGACACAGGGGCCCCATGATCCCCTATTGCCCGGGGGCCCCATGAGTTGTCAGTCCGCCCCTGTAAATTGTGTAGCCTGTAGGCTGAACAAAACAATATCAGTTTATGGGGTATGTAGCGCTAGAAAATAAATATCAAACAAAGAGGGTGTCACCGTATATAGTAGTAACAATAATATTGGACATAAATTGTTCAAATGGTGTATCTGGAGGGCAGATGGATACGATCTTGTGACGTTCCAGATCCAACTCAATAGAATGGAAAAAATAGTGCGGAAACAGAAGATGACCCGGATGTTTATGTCCAAGGAATCTTCGTAAACACAAAGGAAAAATCCAAATGCTAAAAGTAGATTGTCCTAATGAGATAATGAAACCAGAATTCTGCAGATTATATTTTATATATCACTATTTATGTATATAGGTCATGTACAGGGGCGGACTGACAACTCATGGGGCCCCCAGGCAATAGGGGATCATGGGGCCCCTGTGTCCTTGCCCAAACTCAAAAAAGCCTATGAAAAAGGTACCAGGGGCATCTCATGGGGCCCCCTACTGACCCCGGGCCTCGGGCAGTGCCCGAGTTTCCAAATGGTCAGTCCACCCCTGGTCATGTAATAAACGATATTATACTCATTGCTGGTAATTGTGTATATCGCTCGTTCTGGCCCCAAGGGCGTGGCTACAAGGTCACACGCACACTCCATCACTTCCACTTGTACGGAAGACGTCAACACTACGTATTGCCCGACAAACTATTTTTTTAGATTGGTTAATGTGGGCCATGAATTCGAACAACGATCGAACGTCTCTCGGTGGTCGGATGATGACCGATCGGTTGGTTTTCTGATCATGTATTCCACCTTTACTTTGGAGCATATTAGACAATGCACAGAAACAGAAGACCAGACCAGGGGTGGTCTGACAACTCATGGGGCCCCCCAGGCAATAGGGGATCATGGGGCCCCTGTGTCTTCACCCACACTCAAAACCACACCCAAAAAAGCCTATGAAAGGTACCAGGGAAATCTCATGGGACCCCCTACTGACCCCGGCCCTCGGGCAGTGCCCGAGTTCCCCAATGGTCAATGCACCCCTGGACCAGACAAACCTTGGTAAGTCATTTTTTAACAGGTAAATTGGTAAGTCATTCTTGATCTTATTTATGTAGCCAGGTGCCAGCTTTATCAATATACCTTTCAGGGACATTTACAGGTGAAACTATGGCTAATCCTTTCCCCCCTAGTGCCCAGTACTGGGACTGCTACATCACTTCCTGTTAGCAGAGTGGAGCCAGTTCTTCTGACAGCAGAGGATCTTGGGACCCAGGGGTGGACTGACCATTCGGGCTCTCGTGCACCGCCCAAAGGCCCAGGGTCAGCTGTGGACCCCATGAGATTCCCCTGGTACATCTCATAGGCTTTTTTGGGTGTGGTTTGAGTGTGGGCGAAGATACAGGGTCTCCATGATCCACTGCTGCCCGGGGGCTCCATGAGTTGTCAGTCTGCCCTGTTGGGACCTGTAGTCCTACAGCCAATACATACTGTATTCTGAGTGCTGATTGAACTACAATGGCTGATTTCCAAGACCTAGCAATGAAGATTCTTGCTGCTGCAAATACGAATGCACTAAGCCTCCTTTTGTGTCCTGGTGCCCCCTCCACTGGGTGCCCAGGGTAAGGCCTGTATTGGTGATTTAAGAAGGTCCACCTGAGTAAGTGAAGAAATGAAATTGTAGGTGTGCGGATCCAACTTTATAATTTGCTTCTATCAAGGAGGTGTTGATACATTTTTTACATGTATACGACACCAAATTATACCATTCATCAATGACCAAAGTCTCCCGTACATCATCTTCGCATTTATCCATGTAGAACAACTTGGCGGAGGCAGAAGTTAAAATATAAATCTTTGATATATGACCATTGTTTATTCAAAGGTCCTGCAAAGGTGTTCCATTGCTGCAAAGGATGTCAAGTCAGAGGTCCTATTTAATGTGGTTAACCTCTTCACGCCGGCCAGAACGCAAATGTGCGGCCTCCCGGCGTCTGGGCCTAGACGCTGAGCAGCCTGACATTTGCGTTCTATTAAAAAAAGACGTGCTGAGAGCGCACCCTGCTTGCTCCCAGCACACATGTCCAGTACTCACGGAAAGGTCCCGATCTCCCCTTTCGATCGGGACCTTTCCTGATCATGTGACCCGCCGGTGATGGCGTGTCACGGCGATCACATGACCCTAAACCCGCCCCGCCTCCTGGCTTCTGAAACCCTTAAAGGGCCGGGAGGCGCTGGTGTGAAGGGGTTAAGAAATGTGCTATTGGAGTGCAGAAGTAAAATTCTAAATTGGGGAGCTGGAATTTTTCCTGCAGATACGGCTCGACAAGACACCGCTATGGTCACAGAAGTCTGCAATCCTTGGCAGACCCTTGTTAGTCCACCAGGAAACATTTTGGGGGTGGAGACCAGTGGTTGAAATTGGGATTCCCCAATAATGGGGCCAAGGAGAATGTGGGAGATTTAAATCTACAGGTTGTCCTCAATCTGTCCCACAGGCTCAATGAGAACGAGAGTTGGAGCCAGTGTCACCAGTCTGTACTTCGCTTGCAACCACATTAAATGGCTGATTTCCTTAGTGGGGTAAAGAGAAGATTTTATATCCTAAACCCATTATTCCTGTGGTCTACTCTTTTGAACAAGTCTAATATAGAGGTGTTACTACAGAATTGTGTCTTTTGTGTTATTGTTCTATACTGTTGAAATATGTCTGAACCCCTGAGTCTCAGAGGAGTTGGGAAGCTTGCAAGGTCAGGACAACCCTGGGGACAAGCATTACCAGTCGGCCCCTGCAGGGTTAGCGCTACATTTATTTTACTGTTGCTTATTGTCTGTTTTGTAATAATACTTTTTCTGTAAACCTCTTTTCTTTTCATTAAAACAATGTTTAATTTTAATGTTTAATTTTCATCTTTGAAGAAAGCTACCATACTTTTAAACACTGTTACCTTCCTGTCTGGTGTGGCAGGGAGTATCACAGACATTGCTTAAAGTGTTACTAAACCCCAGACCCTACATTCAATTACTATATCTGGTCTCCCCGGACCCTGCATTTGCTATATCTGGGTCTCCCAGGACCCTGCATTCACTATATCCGCTCTCCCCGGACCCTGCATTCACTATATCTGGTCTCCCCCTGACCCTGCATTCACTATATCTGGTCTCCCCAGACCCTGCATTCACACTATATCTTTGTCTCCCCAGAGCCCGCATTTACTATATCAGGTCTCCCCGGACCCTGCATTCACTATATTTGGTCTCCTCCGCTCCCTGCATTCATTGTATCTTGTCTCCCCGGACCCTGCATTCACTATATCAGGTCTCCCCGGACCCTGCATTCACTATATCAGTCTCCCCGGACCCTGCATTCACTATATCTGGTCTCCCACAGTACATAGAGCATGGATATGCAATTAGTTTAATAAATATAAACTGCTTAATACCTTTTCTCATCAGCAGTATAGAGCAGCCTTGTGACTTTTGTCAGAGTCCAGCCGAACACATGTTAAAGCTTGTAGGAGGAGTTTTCATTTTGCTCTAGGAAGATGCAGAACCCCTGATCTCTCCCAAGAGAAAAAAAAAACACCTCTCTAGGAATACACACCAAAACTGAGCATGTGCAGAGTGTCTCCACACGATATGTCTTATCAGGAGATAAGAGGGGGGCACTGGAAGAAGGGGAGGATCAGAGAAGACAGGATCAAACAGCATTTTTACACAATGCAAAGGATTAACCCCTTAGAATCCACAGTGAGTATAACACGCATGCTTTACTGCATCTACAGACTGATTGTACTGTTGTGGGTTTAGTAACCCTTTAAAGTAATGGGATCTGAGACTGCCATTGTCACTGTACATATACCTAGTAAAGCATCCTCAGCCCATATTGAATTGGCAGTTTCCTTACTACCAGTTACATTTGTAATAATTACAACAAAATAGAATTAGTGAGCGCTTTAAGACTAACAGCTGAAACACATAAAGGTAACCAAGTAAAAAAAACTCATAAAACTGATAATAATAAAGTGCAGCGCTAAAATAATAAATGATAAATAAATAGCAAAAACATTATCAAAGAAATGTGACAGTGATGTGACTCACCAGATGTGTATTTTTAAATACGCATGTAAAGTAATATGACCAGAGGTTCCCCCTTTCAGAATGGGATGGATGGGGTGTGCCG